CTTTTCACAATACTTTTACGTTGACGACCGCTTGATCTCGCTACCGACCAGAAAATCAGCAACGCAATTTATGTCACAGTTTAGGGAGAAGCTAAGTAAGGGCGGATTCAAACTGCGCAAATGGGTCTGTAATCACAAAGAGGTGTAAAGTGCGGTTCTGTAAGCAGAGAACGATGAGTCAGGTAAGCCGATAGCTGAATTTCCTGGGGTGGTCATTCGGACGTTGAGAATAGCTTGGGAATACGGGGAGGATAATTTCTGCTATCAGTTGGCAATACCTGCAAGGCCGGATACGAGAAGAGACACCTTGTCTGCAGTGTCTTCTATTTATAACTCCTTGGGTCTAATCACTCCTTTAGTTATGCCCGCTAAATTATTACCGCAATGGCTGTGTCGAGACAAGCTACTCTGGGATGACCCGGCCACTGGTGAATACAGTTACATCTGGAGTTCCTGGCTACGTGAAAGAAAAGCGTTAGTTTTCCGGGAGAATTCTTAATGCATTCGCAAGCTTGGGGAGACAGGAGAGCGGCCACAACTGCACGTTTTTTGTAATACATCCAAAGCTGGACACAGTGGGCCTATTCTTAGGTATGGCTTACCGGCTGGTTACCCCTCATGTGTTTTGAATGCTTCATGCTTGAAAAAATACAGAGGTGTGTTTCAACATTGGTCTTGGTGTTACATCTACAACAGACGCGTCTGTTCGGATTGTCCTCGTCTTTGGGAATACTTGATTTACATCAGGCGTATTCTTAGGGGAGAATTGGGTACCGAATTGCAACAATACTTCCAGTTGAACACAGAAAGCGCAACGCGGGGACACAGTTGGAATCTGTTTAAGAGGAGGAGCCTCCATGTCTTTCCGGAAGGCACTCTATTCACTTGGGTGGTGCACGACTGTACCTTTTTGCTAGAACCTATTGTCATCGCGTCCAGTAAGGAAAGATTTAAGAGGCTGTTCGACCTCCATTTGCTGCGTATGCGGGGATCGTCTTGCTTTCGTTGCGGCTGTAACGGTCCATGGTGGATACCGTTTCTCAACGTCACGCATCGCCCCTACTCTGACTTGGATGCGATGAAGGTGACCAAGATTCCCTTTTTGCTTACTAGAATTCAATGGTTCTGTAGTCGGCTTGTTCCCTAATGAAATGTGAATGTGGTAGGTAATAGGTCAGTTACCCAAAAATTATGATAAAGGCTCCGTTCTTCCGATCGATTCCTGCGAATCATTTGGAGTTTATCATATCGTTGGGCTTTTACTGTCAAAATCTAATTTTGAGAAGGATCCTTGAAGTCTAGGCAAGTCAAGAACTCCTTTGTATGCACCCTTGCATGGTGAATTTTTAGTTTCGTTGTGACCCCAGACATAAAATCGACTGAAAATACTCTGAGGAAAGTCGTTTTCGCCAGCAGGATGTTTCTCCCCATACGACGATCGTTCTCCGCTTGACTCCAGAGACATTTTTAGAGGGTTGCCTGTTCCGGGAGCCCAGAGAGCGATTCCAGAAGACGGATCGAGTTGCAGGGAAACTTTTATTGGTTCAGCAAAAGATTCCCTGTTAGCTAGCTATAAATGAACGACACCGTGGACGCTCTAGCTAGGGGAACGGATCAAGCACAGCACACAGAGCAGTCGCGCGTTGCAACCGAAGCGAGCGCCAAGCAAAAATGGCGATGAGCAAGTAAAGCATTCGAACTCAGCAATCAGTTCAACAAACCACACCGGTTGCCTAAGTGTACAATTATAGAATTTTGGTTAGAATTTTACACAAGCAAACCGGGGAATCTCCAGACTGCTACATAGCCCTCTCCCAGAAGGGACTGTGTAAGCAGTCCTTCGATCTACGTGAGGACTGTCCGTCGCGGGCCAGCCTTCTGCGAGACCAGGTTGTGAAACCCGATGCAGCTGCTGGGGGAGAACCATGCAATCGGACCCTAGCGGGCTCCCACCCGTGTCCTCCCTACGGTGTCGAAAAGGGTAAAAAAACTGTTTGTAGGGGGGACAGTTAATAAACTTCACGTAGGCAGTTGAGCAGGAAGATTGTTGACCTTCCAGTTGACGTGCGGGAGATCAGGAAGGAGAAAACGGAGGGGCTCAAACCAACGACGGTGTTATGGAAGGCAAAAAAAACAACCCAAAAAAATCACCCCACCCACACCAACCCACACAAAAACAAAAAAAACAAAACAACACAAACCCAAACCACACAAAACAAACACAAAAAAACAACAAAAAAAAACAACCAACACAAAAAAAAAAAACAAAAAAACACAACAACAAAACAACACACAACACCCACCCAAAAACCACACACAAACCACAAACCAACCAGAAATAAACAAAAAAAAAAAAAAAAAGAAAAAAAAAAAAAAAAAAAAAAAAAAAAAACAAAAAAAAAAAAAAAAAAACAAAAAAAAAAAAAAAAAAAAAAAAAAAAAAAAAAAAAAAAAAAAACAAAAAAAAAACAAAAAAACACTAAACCAAAAAAAAAAACAAAAAAAAAAAAAAAAAAAAAAAAAAAAAAAACAAAAAAAAAAAAAAAAAAAAAAAAAACAAAAAAAAAAAAAAAAAAAAAAAAAAAAAACAAAAAAAAAAAAAAAAAAAAAAAAAAAAAAAAAAAAAAAAAAAAAAAAAAAAAAAAAAAAAAACACAAAACAACAAAGAGATGCTAACATAAATCCAGGAAAACAATGAGTTAAGTTGTTCCACGAAGACAAACTCAAACACCAACGACACCTAGCGAAGAAATTCAGTGTTAATCTTACAATACTGTACAAGCAAGTAAACAAGCTCTTAAGAATGTAGGGCATAAACCGTTCTACGTACAGCGGATTGACCGGCGAGCACTATAAAAAATGTGGGCAACGAGCTTCGTCAACATTTCATCCGCAAGTTCCATGATGAATCAGTAACACCATTTCTGGATTCAGCTCACTCCCTCCCCAGGTTGTAGCTCCGTATCTTTCACCGTAGCGAATGTGATGAATCTCTATTAGCAACATTTCAATGTGGCGAAATGCAAAAGTGTAAGCATACGCCATCGGTGTGCTTGGGAATAGCGACTTTAGAGTCGTCAGTTGCTACGTGCATTCTAGAAAAAGTATTTTGTGCTAATCGTGCAGGATAAGTTTGGCAGCTCGAAACAGGCTGAAAAGGCATTGAAAATATATAGTCCCGCACCTTTTACTCTTGGGGAGAGCTTTCGGAAAGTTTGTGTTATCCATATGGTCATAAATGTTGTACGCTTATACCAGGCCACATGTAACGTATGCTATTTTAAGCCGGGTGTCCATAGAGCACACACGATATTAATGTGCTCCGCAGCATGGATCGACTAATTTGTCCACGTTCCATACCAACGTAAATTGCAAACCCTGGGATTGTACAGCACTGCATATAGGTGACCGTGAGGATATCTCATCATGGTGTAACTAGTACGAGCAGAGTCAAATCATGCCTGTCGTGACCAGTTGCGACGCAGTCAAAATACTAAACTGAGAGATAACTAGCCCGCGCTTGCGACGCATCACAGTAGACTTATTGGTCGACGAAAGGCATTCTACCTCCAAGTATCCAGAATATGGAACGCAATTTCAACATGTCATTTTGGACTCACATTAATGCCTTTCAAAATACGTCTTGACATACCGTTCCACTTGCATTAAGTAACATAGTCAGATAAACAGCGCAGGAAATAACCCGAAACAAACAATGTGCCCACCAGTACATTTTATAACGTAGCGGAAAAGAAACATACATCAGCGTTCTTGTGAATGTCTTGGTGAGTCACGTAAAAGCTGAATACTTCACTTTTTCAAGTAAATTTTTTCCATTGACTTTATTATCTCTTTGGTCATCCTAAGGGCGTTGTAGAGCAAACACCTTTTTCCTTTTATAACAGGTTGCTCATTGTATAAGTGTATCAAACCACGGCTACAGCCAACCACAAATTTCAAGAGGTAACTTCACGAAACTGTGTGAACACTACAGTCGTCTAGAATGCTGACGGAATTATTATTCTCTTCTGGTTTGCCAACCCTGGAACTCTCTTCCAAACTCAGTTGTTTCCTACCCCACCTTGGACATGTTCAAAAATCATTCAGTGTTTGGCCCCATCAGTTTGTTTCCTAAGCCATGCTACTTTGGAATATTTCAGTAATAAGTTAAATCCAGATTTATGTGTCACGTAGACCTAAGGAGGCGGTACGTGCTTGAACATTTGTGTTTAATTTTGTCACGGAGTTCATCAACTATAACTGCACCAATATGATCTTGGTTGCTTGCATTCAATTCTCATTTGACACTGATATTATGCAGCAGAGCATTTGCTCGATAGACGGTCAGACAGATAACTCTCAAATCTTTGCAGTTGCTGTTTTACCCTGCCAGCCCACGGTAGTTGTCAAGCAACTGCTATTTTACCCGTGAGCAATAATTGTTCATAATTCATTGAGTGAGTACATTCTTGCTTGCTTTTAAGTCGGAAGCATTCAAAACGGTTATTATTGCAAAGTTGAAAAGCAAACATTGAATAAATTACTTTTTTCCGGTTTCATAGTACAACATTCCTTAACATCAGCGAAAAGGAATCTATTATAGATGTAGTTCTGCAAACGTGTGATTTGTTTTATTCACAGTCAAACTGCAAAATATCAGCGTTGATTGGTGCATTGATTAATCTTCAAATATTTGTTCGTTTTCAAAGACGGTAACTACTGAGTTCTTTCTGAAAACGCGTTTTCAGACGTGCATTTTGACTCAACTTATTTGATTACGACTACTAGATTATTTTACATCCATTAGCAGTGAGCACCGGGTGTTTAGTTTTATGCTTGTTACGAACCGCGGAAGAAACACAAAGGTAACTAAGGCAACGAAAAGCTAGTGGTTAAAATTTCTGTAATGCATTAACCAGTTTGTGCTTGATCGGTACATGTGTTTAAAGAAATGCAAAGTGGGAGGGTTGGCAACGGCAACTTCATTAGAAAAAGAAGCATTAAACCTCTCGGTAATAGTAAGTATTGACCATAGTATATACTTCTGAATTGAAAGAAAATACTTGTTCGCCTAAAGAAAAAAGTTTGTCATTCTTACTTGTGCCGTCAATGATATTTGATTCCTCTTGCTCCCAGCTTGTCATTTTTCTATCGATAAATGGAAGATCTTCATGCATTAATTTAATAACATATATTATTTTTCCAAATCTAACATCCTAGTTTTGTGAAGCATAATGGTTATCATGCATATACTGTTAATAATTTCTAGGTGGCAGTATGTAGAATACCTATTTTTCTGTTCATTGCTCTCTGGTAATAGGGAACCAGATAAATTAGGAACCTTTCCAACTAATTTCCATTATTATATCCGGAACGGCTTAGTATCTAGTAAGTCGTTTCGGCATAATGAGCAAGGTGGTGTTTGCGTTGCAACATAGTGGCATCAGTTTTACGTTACTCTAGAAAGTGGTGTTCCAAATATTTTGTAAGTTTAAAATGTCAAAGCATAGATATTGAGATCTACTACGAGAGATAAACGGAGACGTCAAACCTGGTAACCTTTTGGCTTAATACCCAACACTTCAGTATACGGCGTATCCCGTCTCTGTTGGAATCTAGTTGGCGGCGAAAACTAGCGGGCTGTCTGTAGGTAAAAAGAATAAATGTTGTCTTATGCGGAACATCCAACGGCTCCAAAAACCAGGCCGCATCCAGTGCAAATCCAAAGCTTTGTTGTAGGGCGGCGGAAGCCAACGAATACACCTGAACAACAACAACGGGATAGTAGGGAAGCACCTACGGGCGCAATGAATGAGTCGAGATAAGAAGTTGCGAGCGTTGTGGATCAAGCCGGCAGCTGAACACGACCTGCATCTGGTAACGAGCCGGGGCCCAGAAAAACTAAGGAGATATCTGTCGAGAACGCAGCGAATCAGACAAATCCACCGCTAGCAAAGTCCATAAGACTGAAAGCGGGATGAGTGAAGCAGTCGTGAGAAAGCAACTCGCGAACCTGTGAATGCCTCTTGGTTGGCCAGAATCGGATATAGCGAAGCAAAGATACGGGATAAAAACTTGGAGGGATTGTTGCATAGCTCAACGTCGTAGGCACATGGAATGGTCCGTCTCACAAATCCCCAACCGCAGTGCGTCGTGGGAAGAAAGCACGGCTCATATCTGCATGGGTTTATAGTTGGTCAGTTGCACATGGTTGTGGCAATGCAGGATCTGCCCACCCTCCCGCGTCCTCCTGGCTACAGTATGAGGAAGATGAATTCCAGGAATGTCACTTTTAGGTTTAATCGACCAAAATTTTTTGGCCAAACACATCACCGATGCAGGATAAGATAAATCTTGCGTAACTACAGTGCATTAGGATGTGTTTGGATCGCGAAAATCTCTTTCCTAGAGTAGCAGTTTGGGATTATCATTTATCGAAACCCAAGACTGTCTACGCTTCAGAAAAGTGTGTAGGTTATCGATCCGGACAGTTCATCACTTTGTCATGATTCTCATTGTGAATAGTTGGAATCAAGGTTCCAACCACCAGTTATACGATCACAGACGTTTAACGATACAAGCAGAGCTCAGTAGCCTCGAAGACACTTACTGCAGCAGCTTCAGTAGTATAAAAAGATTTATACAGTTGTGTGCCAGGTAACCGGAATAAAGTGAAGTGAAGGACTGTGCAAATATTAAGTTATTGATGACTAGCCTGAAAATGCACAACACCTACAACATTGTGGATAACTCCGTGATAGCCTTCGGAAAATGGACGTCTGAGTAACTGGAGCCAATTCAAAGCGCGCTATGTTACCTACAGATTAGAATTACGCCTGGTTGTCATCTAACAATCCTTAAGGTTAAAAATGCATTAAATCCAGTTCTAATGGAACCGTTACTCCAGCACCAATCCCTGTTCTTCGCAACGATCGTAAATTGGGTGGTTTTAGAAAATGAGCCTTGCTATCTAGCGATTAAGTTGTAACATGTGACAATCTGTTATCATCCACCGGTTGGTCTAATGGCGGATGGTGTACGCTAGTGGAGCAAGTGTTTGCTATCGAGAAGCCATGGGTTCGCTTCATGACGATGTCAGGGAATATGCACCGTTGATGCCAAAATAATCAAATACGCTGCCACTCTTTATGCCAATTTGAACTCTCAGCGAAAGTTACAGGAAGCTACTAATGGGCCTATTAATCATAACCTAGAGAAGAATTGAACAATCAGGTTGAACTTGAGTAAACAACACAATGCACCGAACTTCTCTTAGAAGTGTCGTGTATAGCCTTGCAAAATTTCAAGCGCCACGATATTTTGATGCTGAGGTGAAAATTAGTCTACAAACGTTAGCCATTGACAGAGTACATAAAAACTGCTATATACTGATTAGTTGTTAGACGCTAAAAAAGACAACAAAGCGGGTTCGCTCTATCTCGGACACTGTTAGAACTCCTTGTGAATTACACAACTATAAGCTCCGATAGGGTAACAGACGATATAGCACGGATAAAGATGACATAATGAATATAATTTGGGCCTTACTACAATAATCTACAATAGTATGTTTGAAAGATCACTGTGAGTTAAAACCAATAATTGGTTTAGTGCCATAAAATGGAAATAAAATGTGATTAACTGCTCGTTCAATGTTGTTTAACCGAACAACGGCAACGCACTTTACGTCCTTGGATGTGTATTCTGAGGTAAGTATGTTATAAATAGGGAAAATTGACAAAACGACCAAAATCACACAGCTTTCATGGTTTTCACACAGACATACTTTATTCCGTTCCATGATCGTACTCGTCCAACCTCCGCAATTTCATATGCCCCCGTGTCTACGCTGAATGTGCTAACGGAATTGTTTGTCTGGAACAACAACGTACAAATAACAATTAACAATTTTTAGTTACTAAAGTAAAACATCTTAAGCTTCATTTATTGAACGCCATTGGACAAAACAACTGTCCACCCAAAACGCATGTTGGAATATTTTCTAAATGTTTATGGTAAATTTTTTATTAGTTAAGCTTAAATTATCTCTTCTTTTACTTGCTATTTGTAAGGTGCACTTGCTACCAAATAAATTCTATTTGCGAAATTTGGACTTTGGAAAGTTATCAAACGATCTGCTTGATACTATTTTGGGACACGGAAGATAGCTTCCTTCTGGTTTACCTAAAAGTGTGCCGATGTAAACCAGTTCAGGAGAAAACGACAAATTGTACTGCACCTATACAATGAATTAGCTGTGTAACATCAAGTTGCCATAAATTACATATACAGCTGTTATAAATTTACTATTTTTTCGTGCTTCGGCACATTGTCAGATATTTAATCACTTTTTGCTGCCATGTCACGCTTACCTAACATTTGCTTGGTACGATTATTATATTTTTGCCCCACTGATCATTTGAAAAAGAAAATGAGGTATGTAACAGAGTTTTATGGGACGGCTACAGCTTGAATTTTTTCTCCTCTGTTATGGCCGTCTAGTAAACAATCACGTTAGAAGATCAAGGCCAGCTGAAGTATAGTGATGTGAACGGGAACCAAAGTAGGTACTAAGATATATAGTTTATCTAAGCCAACAAGCTGGTAAGCACTTGTTCGAAATTCTAAGTTGGTAATCGCAACTACATTGAATGCCACTCAGCTCTTAACCTTCTGCAGCAACAATGTACATTTATTCGCACTAAGTTATTGCTAAATTCAGCTAACACAAGTTGTAAAAATAACGTCATTGTTAGTAACTGTCGGGTTCATTGTACGTACCGAGCCCATGACACCAACCTCATTGCCATAAAATGGATAGCCCCAGATGACCTCATGAGGAGTAAGACGAATGAACGGTTTGGTGTTTGATAAGAGGGAACTCCAGGACCATCTGCCATTCAAGATCTGTTTTTACCAAATTAATAAAGAAGTACAAAACAGTATATGTTTAGTAATGGCTGTATAGATGTGTTTTACGTATACTTAAAAGATCAATTGCTACTAAACACAAGCTTGCAAACTAAGTACGTTAATAGTAAAAGGTCAGTTGTTAAACCGCACCTCACCGTATGTGTTAAGATCATTCCCATGCTTTATAAAGTACAGGCGGTATATCGTACGTATTCATAACACAATGGCAACAACTCGAACATTAGCAGTTGATAATAACTGGGATGATAAAATTGAAATTTATGGAGTAGACTGAGGAAAATATACATGAACTCATTCGCTTGAGTTGAGGCGCAAACACCCGCGAAACCAACTAAAAGTGATTCAACATAAAATGGGGCCATTACAGCTGCTGATCTAGCAATAGCTTAAAGAACCTAGTTAACTTATCAGCAAATAGTTTGCGTTCCCTAAAGTATCATTCATCTTTCGATATCACTACATAACAAGATTAACTATCACTCCTGAACAAATCACCCGTATTCTTCCAGATAAACTTTTCTACAACTGAATGCCTGTGCGTGGCAACGTTATCAATTTAATGTTTTTGTCCAGCTTCCGTTTATATCCTCTCCCTAGGTGTCTTATGATAGCTATCCAGAACAGTAAATATATTTCATGACTTGCTGGTGAGGCGACGAATGATTTACCATAGGAAGCAGAAATGTTCTATACATTTCACTGTTGCATACTTAATTTGCTAGGGCGGGTGCCCGTTCGCTTGTATTAGAATGACAACTAAGTTTCTAAAATATGTAGTGGTATAAATTTCGAAACCATCATCTGTCATCCGTTTAAAAAGCATGGTAACTCGTGCTTTCCCAATTTTGCATGGTGCTTGACTTCATCGACTTTGTTGCTAATTCGAAGTTCCTTTGTGCAGCTACTGCTGAACCCCGGCTCCTTGAACGCAATAGAACTCAGCGAACTAGAGACTGTTCACCAACCTGTTTGGCAAAAATTCTATCAGCCTTTATTTATCGTGCAGCAAGCAATACTAGAGAAATTTGCGTTTTCATTTGGTCTCGGCTAATGAATGCTGTTTGATTGCAACGTAACCAAACTTGTTGACCAGACTTCTAAAATTGGTTCCTGCTGGTTAAAGGTAGAAACCGAGATAGAGCATCTGACGCAAGTCAGAATATTCGGCCCGCTTCCGTTGAAGAAAAGAACTTGCTTAATATTCGGCTTTCTGTTGGCTTTATTTTTCTGCAGAGCCATCTGCATGTAACGAATTCCAGGAGTTTGTATATTATGACATTTGTAACCATAAAACACGATGTCATTTTTCCAATATTAAGGAAACTAAAGATTTATTCTAAACTCAGCCTTGTTAGTTGGATAGGTTAACAATGGGTGCGTCATTACACGGAAAGATTATTAATAGGCGTAGATTGCTGCAAATACATTAGTGTTTGCAGTGTGAAGTGAAATGGTCATATATTAAGCAAATTGAGTATGCAAATTGACTTACATTTTTCTGCGTAAACCAAGAGAAAGAAAAAAGGTTTAAACACTGCATGAGATTTGACAATTGAGCAACGTGTATTAATATACTCTAAATTTATTCATATGGGTACGATCTCCGTTAATCCGATACAAAATCCTTTGGAAGTCACATGCGCAGTTCGGCCCAGCACAGGTACCCCCACAAACCTACGCACTAAATGCGCATTATTCATGTGTAGTTACAGATTCCTGCACCTAAGACATGTATGACAACGTTCCGCGCTTCATATCTTGAGAAAGCGAAAATCAGTTATTTTACGGTGCGCTGAAAATTTTCCTCATGAACCGTGTAAGTGCACAGAAAGCAGTCGAGATTTAGGATAATATCTGTCTGGTAAAAGCATTAATTAATCAAACAATGACGTAAGTTAGTATGAAAGTGGAAAAGTCTTTCTATTACCAATCAGTAGGGATCAATGTCTAAATTATTAATGACGTTTATATATGTGTCTCTAGCTTAGGTTACACAACTGTTTATACGTGAATACGAAATTAACTCGATGAAATGCAAATTACTGAGCTTATTGTCTAAGACTGATAATTTTCTACCACATTTAGCCGCCTGATTTGAACACATATTTAGCCTTGCGCATTTGCCATTTCATCAGCTAAGATAATCCATTCGATTTCATCGCTAATAGGACTATGAGAAAACAACGTTTTGCTCCTTGCCTTTGCTGTGTCACAATTACACGATTTATGGTTTGTTTTCATCTTGTACGCATCAGTCACTCTTCTCCTTCTCGTCATAACAAGCAAATTATTTTCAAGGGAATGAGTTGGTGGTACTTTGCTACACAGGACCAATCGACATATCCCTAAACAGACAAAAAATCAATTGAGTTTACCGAAATCGCCCCAACAACTTGCTGGACCACTATTCTACAGTCAGATAGGCCAGTTGTTTATGTCGGCTTTACTGAAGTTGTAGGTTGTTCAACGTGAGGATGAAAGTTGCCGAGCGGAATACTCCAACTGCTACAACGTTGACGAGTTATCAAAATTCTTATTGGTCCAAATGAGCTAAACCTATTTTCGTAAACGAACCACACGCGGACAATCATCATAAAAATGTTCATTTGTTTGTTCTGAACAATTTGAGGGTTTCAATTAAGTTGATCCCTTTAGCAATTTGAATAATGCAGTTAAGCGACAATGACTGACAAATGCTAGCAACGTTTACTGCTTCGTCACTGCCAAAAATATGACTGGAATATATATATATATATATATATATATATATATCCGGAACCGGATGCCGCCAACCATTACGGTGCATTCAAGATCGACAGAACGTACAGAGGATCTGAGCGAAGAAATACCTACATAATTGGTGATAGTTAGATATCAACAAGTTTTCAGCTTCCCATACCACCCTTACAAAAATAACCAAACTCATTCAAAGGTAGACATTCACCAGCCACCTGTCATACCTTTGTTTCGGCCACCATGTTTGTCATCGTACTGAGACATACTAAAGCCTTTTCCTGCGTTTTGCACAGGCGGTCGCAAGCAGATACAATAAACTAGCACTCTGTGTGCAGAAACAGCTCTTCCTCATTCTAAGGCGGTAATACGGGAGTTGGAGTCACATCCATCCTCCATTCCTCTTCACTCCTAGCAGTACATTTTCCGGTTATTATTTGAGCAATTAAGAAGCAAAACGCAAAGCTGGAATTTGTAAATCTCACTCTCCTAATACTTTTGTTCAAAGCATATGGTGTACAGTATGCGTTCAGCAATTGAAGGGGAAGCCAATAGTGATGAAACTGGAGAGCTCCTCGTCACAGGCAGTTGGAGCTGACCATGGCATTTTACTGATGACAATAAGGTTAATAAATTCCTTAAATTTCTCCATCTTGGTTGCTCAAAAGATGGCCTCAAACCATACTTCTATAAACGAGTACATTCAAATACTAATGCTTGTTATGATGCACTTACCGAACCGTTAATTTGACAAACCTAAGTGCTTTTCCTAACATGTGATATGGCACTTCCACCCAACGCATGATACTCGAGGTACCTTATGTTGCTAGCAAACTGCATGATCGATAAAAGGTTGCAAAGAAAGCATCTGATTGGTGACATTTTACAGCCTATTTTTCGGTGGAATTCACCTGTTTCTGCATTTAATAATGTGGAGAATTTGTTAGGCTGCCGTCTCCTCCGCAGCTTACTTGCAAACTCTAGATGCTGAAGATCGAGCGAATCTTATTCAGATGGATATGCTGAACAAACTATGATCATTAGCAAAACGCTCATGGTATGGGTGTCATTGTAATGTCACAAAAAACAAATACGGCTTTTCAATTACATGTTAACTTTGCATCAGACAAAGCAACTATTCATTGCTTTTATAGCTAAACTTGACACTAAAGACCAACAGAACCAAGTTCCTTAAATGGAGATGATAAAAATACAGTTGGTAATGCCTACAAAACAACCGTACCTAATACGTCCTTATCTCTAAGGGAATGCGCCACGTATATTTAAATGAAGAAAAATAATCCACAATTACAACATCCACTTTTCGATGCAACTTTAAGCGTCTAGTTGCCTCAGGTCGTTAAAACCATAAGTGATTGAGTTAACGCCTATAGCTTGAAAATTCAGTTTCCAACGCAGTATTACTTTGACACGTGAAGGATTCTAATGCGTAGTATAATATGAGTTAAATTTTATCTGTAGATAGGCTAAGATTGGCATAAATATGTATAAAGGAAAGCAAATAGTTGTGTCTGACAATATGCTTCTTTTAAACGGCTAGGCAGTTAGCTTGCTCACCACATGAAGTAGACAGGGCGTAATGATATTTGATTCCATTGAGCCAGGGGCTGATAACTCAGGAACAAAATGATACAGGGTAGTCCGATTGTAATGCAGCAATTTCGGTGGTTGTTCCGATGAAAAGGTGACGTCCGAAAAAATCTGAGTACGTCTATAAACAAAAACACTATTCTCTAAAGCTGCTACATTTACGGCTTGGCAACACTTAGATGATCACTTTACTAGTTAACTAAGGTTGTAAAAGTTATACCAAGAAGAATAAGTTGCATTACAAAAGTATTGGAAAATGCTTTAAGTGTAGCACGGTGTAGGCGGTAGAATTGATAACCTCGTGTGATATTCTACTCATAGCGTTAAAGAAAGTACAGCTGCATTGTCACTTGGTTACTCTCTTGATGACATCATTTTCGAAATTAGAAGCAATGAAATATATCTGTTCCTGACAGCTTCCAGCCATAATTCAGCCCATCATTCAGTAAATACTACTCAACTATAGGTGAATTACAGATAGTGCTTATTTCACTTCAACGATTCGTAGTGCGATATAAAGCGCAAGTGATAAGGTGCTGAGCACTTTAACGTGACTGAGCACTCTAACCTGTAAACGAAAGGTCCAATCTCTTGAAGTTGAGGTGCATCCCCCGACAATACTTCCTTTTCATTGGTGATGTTAAATATGTAGAAACTAGTCAGTTCGCCTTTTGTAGATGATAGCCAAGCATTAAGTATAGTTGAACCAGGAAGCAGTGACAAGTGCTGAAATGGAATCGATAGTAGGATATATTAGTACACGATACGGCCTGTACTGTAAACATACGTATTAACATTCAGAAGCTTAACCGTCCCATTTCCGGAAATTAAGAACATAAAAGATATTCTTCCGCTTCTTGTCTTGTTCATTGTTAAGTGGGGAACAAAGATAGTAAACGGAAAAGAGTTGGTAATGTGCTTACACTTGCTACAATGAATGGTGCCCTGTGAATTAAAACATTCGGATCAAGAACTTACTCTAATCAAAATCTTGAGAAAGATGCCATCAAATATGCTGATCAGAATTATGAGAGATAAAGTAATCGTTGCCAAGACACTTGCGCCCACTAATAGAGCAATGGTGAGCCTTTTGTCGTTCTTGTGAAGAATGGACAACATCCCTATTTCAGTCGATCAGTGAAGGGACCAACGGGCTCTGAATAGGTTGTAGTAAGTTGCACTATCATTCAGTGCCAGGTTCGATTCGCTCTTTCTTCACAAGCACACGAAGCTGAGTGCCTAAATAGTTTAAAGAAGATCCAGATTTACGGTTTACTCACTGTCGTGTCTCATATAACGTTAAACTTGCTGTTGGTAGATGTACAGGAGATAACAAATGATCACAGAACCAATAGCCTTTGTGTGGCTTCCGCTTTTATTCGGAGTAAGTGGGTGGTTCATCAAACATTGGCTCACCAGTAAGGTGAAATATTGATGCATTCCAAGGCATGTGTGTCCATTTTTGTTCTCACTCACAGGTTGCAAGTAAGGTTGGCAAGCTTGAGGAATTTGCACCTTTTCTGATGAGGTGACTTTAGGTCAACCATCCAAGCGTGTTCATCCGAAAAAAACAAATATGGCTGTTTGTTCCGTAAAAGTGTACTTAAAAAAGCATGTTGGAAGTAGGCAATATTTATTGTTGTAGTGGCAGTTTAGCTCATACATCGCTGCTAGTTTTATTTGACCATTAAAGATGGTATGCTGTCCATCGAATTTAGCAATGGAAATAAGTTGTACAGGAACACAAAGTAGTAAGATTGCCACTTGAAACTAGAGGGACCATCAACATTTTCTTTCAACACGCTGTTGGAACAGTATAAGCTTAAAGCCTGAGCAATATACGTAATCTGAGAGAATAGTGTAGTTTCTCTTTACCTAAAACCGTATGCTTCGAGATAATAGTTGTTTTGGTAAGCAGTTACATGCCAGTAGCAATGTGCTGAATTGGCCATAGTAACACGTGCGTCTTACAAGTAGGTCAGATAAAAAATGCAAACCCAACAGAACTTCCAACTAAGATAGAACATGGAAAATATGTAAAAAGTATGGCGGATTTTAAGGCGGACTGGACTACGCGGTCAACAGAACACACCCAAGGAAATGTGAAAATCTATTCAAGAAGATGGCTAACGTATATAGTTAGCAAATGAAGATGCTGCGTCACAGTGGAAGAAATGAACGTGTATGTGTGAGCCATTATGGAAACAGATATGTACGAGAGTGTACGTTTTTGTTGGATCGTACCCGTAAGTGAAAGATTGTTCATCAAAGTATAATCATCTTCCTCCGTCTAGGATACTATCACAAAGTTGATTGGTTCCCCTACCTCTAAGGAAATTTTTCGCAAGCATGGTCCGCGGATAATTTCATGGAGTCGGCGGGCTTTCTCAAGAAGGTATAATTCAGCTAAAAAAGGTACACGTTATCATTTTCGTTATATAGTTCGATGACAAACCTGCAGCTAAAATGTGTCATAATATATGTGGCATTAACATTGTAAATAAACCATGTAAACTCTTTCCTAGTGGAACACGGGTCCAGCAAAGTTAAAAAGGTCAGGAAATAAAGCTGATAAGCTTCAGAAGGCACTGTGTTAACCGCAAGGTGTCTAGGGTGGGTAGATGTTAGATGGATAATTCTCCGTCCACGCAAGCTCACATAACCTATACTTTGTCCTCCGGAGGGAAGTGAAAAGTTACGGCAAGCGTGCAAAGTTGACCTTGCGCATTGAATCTAATCTACTCCGTGATGTTACGAAAGGTAGCTGTATGTTTATTTTATACTTCATTCAAAATTCGACTTATCAACGCAATAAAGTTTGATGTGTCCACCGGAGAATTGTATTTAATGAAAAGTTCCTCGTACAAGCATCACTGCACTAGTTATATATTTATTTTCATTTTAGCTTTTGTGCGTATAACATGCGCACTAAACGTTGACCGAATACAGGGAAATTGACAGGTGTGTCATAAAAATTTAACGTCGAATTCCGATGTAGTAATAGTTGGACTCTCTATCGTGCCTCGTGATAAAGCTGAAAGTGAGACGTTCGATGTGCCTGTAAAACATGGTTGAATGAAACATAAATTTACTCTAATCAAAGCTGCTTGAGCAGTAGGTGAGAAGCATAAATACGACGTTTTTATTTCTTATGCTTTTATGGAGTCCGGCAATTGCCCACAATGAGTTTTATGTAACAAAGTTCTTCCGAGCAATTCCATAGTGTACGTAAATTGCGGTCATTTCGAAAAGATGCGTGCAGGCTGTAAAGACAGAAAATATAGGTACTTTGAGCGCAGGCGAATTGAACTGTTAAACGTCCAAAATTACAAGCTTAACACTTTGCTGACTGTCAGTGAACAGGTTTCTAAGGTATCTTATGTAGTTAGACAAACTATTGCGCTAACAGGAGGACCTCACAGAACGCCAGAGAAAATTATCAAGCCATTTGCGGTCGAAATGGCTAGGTGCATGTCGGATGAAAAAATCAGGGAGACAACTGTAGGAACTACCACTAGCAAATGATATGATAACTCCAAAAGCAAAGCATTAGCAATTGCTGTTAAGGAAGACTCAACATAAGACATTATATCTGCTAACTACGCCTTTTAAATGGATGAATAAACAAATGTGGCAGGGTTTGCTGTCCTACTAGTGTTTGTAAGATATAATCATTAATTATCCCTGGAAGCAGACATGCTGTTTTGTGCACGTCTACCGGAAAACACTATGCCCGGATTCACGTTGGGTTGTTCAACATGGTGAATAATTTTATGCAGGCAAATAATATTCCATGGGACAACTGCATTACTTTGGCGCTGATGTTGGCAAAGCAAAGGCAGGAAAGATTACTGGTTTTGTGACAAAATCAGAAGCGTTATAAAACTCTTCAACAACAAGTTATCCATTTTTAATCGATCAGCACTTGTCATAAGCAAAATGCCACCCACACTCACAACGATTCCTGATAAGACTGAAAATAAGTAGGTTCAGTAAATTTTGGCCTTTGATCAACCGACTGTTTAGGATTCTGTGTGACAAGACGGGAAATGTTCACACATCTTCACAACTTACCAGCGGAGTGCGATTGCTCCCCCATTACAAAGCACTAACGCGTTTGCTAGAATTATGCACAGATGTCTAAACGTGCTTCACGGATGGCCATTTTGCTTTACTGTTCTCGATAACTGTCATAATGTGGTCGTCAAAATCTGCCTATTTGTGCGGCCTATTCGCAAAATATACGAACAAATTCATTACAAATGATAAAATTCGTGTTTTTAAAAGTAAGTTTAAAGTTAGGCGAATTATGCTGACGATGGTAATACGGATAGCTTTCCGGCAGCAAAGGACGTTTTTAAGGGATGAATGGAAACACAGAGCTCCTGGAGAAATGTTTGGACGCAACTATGCAGCAGTTGAGAAAGCTGACCGAAGCCTTGCTTCACTATTTTCCAGTGAGGTAGAGGAAAAACTGTATGAATATTTATGGGTAAAGAACCCTTTTACTGGCACGAAAAGCCATCTTTCACATTTTTTCGGTAGGAGAAACTCACCTGCATAATGTCAAGTTCTTCCCTTCAGGAAAGTTTTCACAAAGTGCAGCTTGGTAGTGGTACAGAAACGCCGAACATGTTTGCATCTGCAGCTATTTGGTTGATCACCGAAAAGTGATGTATTCTGTTCATGATACTATTAAACTAAGTGAGTGCCGCAACCAAACTGAGCGCTTAGGAAAAGAAAGCCGACATACATCTAGCTCCGTTAAGTGCACCCTTCTCAGTTTTCTTTTTGAAAGACCAAAGTAAGTTGATCTTGCTCTTAATCGCAGTGCGATTAAAGTAGCATATAGCTGCTTTGACTTTACTGGCATCACGATAAGGAACACAGACTGGGACTACTGATTTCGCCAGAAATTCAGAAGCATGGATAATACTGCATAGAGTCGTTTCTTTACGGTGCCGTTTTGTCGAACTTTCACACTTCCACTCCTAGATCGATGACATAAATGCTAACTAATGGTAGCTAGCAAAGGGACCAAAAGATAGTCGTTTACATATAAAAGAACCAACCGTGGCAATTTCGATATAGATCGTTTACAGTGAGTAGCACCCAATTCGCATTGCACTCATCAATATTTCATTCTCTGGTCGGGCCGGAACTCTTCCTCTTTTCATAGCGATAATACTTCCGACCACAGCCCAATACAGTTTAAATTTTACTCGCGCTTAGAAACTTCCTTGTGACTTATTTAAGGACGGTTACTTCACGACCTTATTAGTGTGCAGGAATGTAGAGAAAACCTTTTAACCTAGTAGAGTTGTTGCACTCTGCACTACCAGGAAGTATGATACTAGCTTATACAAATTTATTTCAGAATAAATGCCAAAATTTATAGGGGAATTTGTCTCAAAGTAATCGAGTCCGAAGAGGCAAAGCACTAAAAATTGTTCGCGTTAGTCACTGACTAACTGGCACAAATACTGTGTTGGCAGGAAACTTAAATGTACGCGGTCACAAGCACCAAGATGATTCTCAAGCCGGCTGGAGGGCACTGACTGGCTGTAAGAAAATGGATATAAATGGAATTGAAGTAACAATCGTGAACGCTAGACTGCCTAGTTCTGACAATTATTCTGTGATGACTGGGATCACAAAAAGGAATGGCTCAAAAGAGCAGAACTCAATTAATGGAGGCCGTAATTTCGGGAAAACTGTCACACTTTAAGCCGCATCTGCGACAAATACGGTCCTAATGTCTGCACTTTGGTAACACGTATCTATAACCGGGACATATCCATAAAGTTATGTAAAATTACCAGCATCTTATCGTAAGACAAGGAAATAAGCTTGACGTCTGTAAAGAAACTGCATGCTTCTCTGATACAAGTACCATAATCTAACTTATCAATCAGTAAAATTTCTGGAGACGAATACTGTCTCTCACTGAACGTATAGGAGGAGGTCGCAGTAGTTGAAGACCGAATTCAACTAGGAAACATTTAAGATGAGCGACAGTTTCAGCTATAGCCCCTTGCAGTAACAAGATGTGAGTAGGTACCTTAAAACTTTCTCATAGGATAGTGGTGAATACGGTATCAAGAGCGGATAAGCAGATGATGGAAGAATGAAAGTGCTGTGTGTTTGCTTG